CACCCCTATTCTGCAACTCTTTCGTATTCGGATTTTGCTACGAATCGTAGAAATAGTATGCTGCAATCCGAATCGTATTTTCGAATTTTCGAAATTCGTAACAATGGCATGCCTAAAAACGAACGAGTAAGCTTTTTTGCGTAATTTTGTACGAAAACAATTATGTATCGGAGGCGAAATAAAAGATGTCAATCGATGTGTGTTTGCAAGAAATATTGGTGGTGTTCATTTAAACAGATAAATTTGCCTTTCGCATATACGTATATTTTTATCCACTGCTTTATATAAACGAGCAAAAAAGAATATTTGTGGCCCCTTATCTAGAAGCTTGGGTCCGGTTTAGTTAATGTACAACGATTTTCGTTTGTTGTGTCCAAACGCATAACCCGAATCCAAAAACTTTAACATACACGTGTAATCAAAGTATTTAAGATAAATGTTTCAAATTTCCTACCACTAGCTTATTAATAAATTCGGTTTGCACTATGCACTTTTTTGCAAATTTCGACGTGGGTTCTGCTCAAAAATACTGTGGACGGTGTAGCCGGAGTGATATGCACAAGAAATGTTATATACCGTTGACATGCGGAAGCCCCTCCTCCCCGCAACACAGAAAGGAGAATTGTACTTAGTAAGGGTTATAATCCCTAAGCGCGACCGAAGGCAGAAGCAGGCGCAGCAGGTGGTGGACCTAACAAAGTGCATGTTTTCAATGGCTTGGAAGAAGCTGTTATTGCATTAACTGGATTGAGAACCAGAGCTTCCGGCATAGGAGGCTTGTGGTTCAACAATTCAACCAGAAGCTGACATAGATGCGCCCATGGTTACTATGTACGACAGCTCCGCATACCTTTGTGAATCCATTGCCATAGCGCCCGCTTACTCCGCTGCTATAATTGCAAATACATCAGAATCCATAATTTTCCTCGAAATATGTAAAATTAACCAATTTTACAATAAACAAGCACATGATGAGTGTTTTGTAATTTCTTTCCAATTTGTTTTCCTTCATTCAGTTATCTTCGAAAAACAACTGATAGCTGGCAATGCTGCACATGTTTCCGCAAGGGTTGCGGCATGTGGATTTTTCGTTTCGGGTTCTAGAATAAGGGGGTTCATTTGGGGGGGAAGTTGCAAATTCGTGCTGGGAAAATTTTTGCTAGTAAGAATTTAGAAGCAGGATTGTGGCACACGGTTGCATTTTTATCAACACTAATTTGAATCAACAAGTTCGTTAAATTTAAAAATTAACAATCTTGTTGCGATTTACTAATGAAAGAAGTAGGTAAATATTCGTTTATTCAATTAATTTAATTAATTCCAAACATTTGAAAGGTACGCGGCTGAAAAAGCTGTATTCGTAATCGGAACGCATTCGACACCACTGTCGATATAGGAAATCCGACAGTGACTTTCACAAAGAAATTGAAGGGTATGTTGAAGAAAGTCAGAATAAGAAGAAATATACGTATAGGTCCTGTTTTGGTTTCTACCTGAAATAATTTAAAAAAATTATTATGCTCGAAATGCAACCGTGGACGCCAGCTGGCAGTGAAACTTGCAAATGTTTGCTAATTCCTGTTCGCGCAAAACTTACTAAGTTTCTCTCTTTGGGAGAGTAAGGTACCTTATTCTCTGAATTTTGTTACTGGCTAATTCTTACTGGCAGTTGCACAGCGAACACTCCTTATGTGTATTTATACACATTTATATATAATACTAGTAAGATACTATGTCCTATTTCTACTTTCTTGAGTTATGATGAATTTCTTGTTATCTAATCAGCTTTTATGATCATTTCAATAAAATCAATAACTTCATATTTTTTCATTCATTCTGAAAAATATTTCAAACTGTAAACTTAACTTTTACGATTTGTGAAAAGTGTTAATCAATTTTAAGAAAGAACCAAATACAAACTTTTGTATTTTATTGGCGCAGTCGGTAGGATCTGCGCAAAAGATCCTTGAGAACCTACAAAGGAAACTTAAACTTCCTAGTCCGCAATTCAAAGATTTCAAGCATGAATATTGCCTGACGTTTTAGTTCCTGAATGAATATTGAGGAGCAGTTGGAAGTTTTAAATACTACTTTCCGGTCAGTTAGTCTTCAGGATAATTTTAGCATGACTGAATCTAGAGGACGAAGAGAATTTGCTTTGAAAAATATTAAGTTAATAGCGCCTTTTGATCGTAATGCTAATTACCTTGCCCTGTTTGTGTGCAGTATCGACGAAATATCTAGAACTCTCCCCTGAAGACCAGCGATTTTTTTTAAATTTAATATTTACTACGCTAAAAAGACCTGCCGCAAATGTAGTAAGGCGAGAGCAACCAAATGATTGGACATCGCTGCGTGATCTTTTGATCGAAGAGTTTGGTGAGCATACTCCTGTTTCAACGCTCATATTAGAAAAAAAAACAATATAAGGTCTAAGAATAGTATTAAGTTATTGTGTGAGGAAATAAATGTACAAGTTTGCAGGATCAAGGATTGTATAAAGTTAGGTAGTGAAAATGAAGCGACAAAATTATTTCTAAATGAAGAGCTTAACAGAACTAGTTTAAAAATATTAAAAAGAGAGTTACCTATTCAACTTACAGCACTAATTAATGCTAATTTAGTTAGTGATTTTAAAAGGGCAATGGAAGTTCTTAGAGAAAATAATGTCTTTGATAATGAAATCGATTATCTAAAAATAAAATACTTTTTTCCCTAAAATAAATAAAAATCCAATAAATACTATTTTCCAACCTAACAATTTTCCATTTGCACAACCTTTTAGTCCAATGAATTCATCTTCATTTCATAATAGTAACAGTAATAAACCTAAGTATGGTCAAAATACCTCCACTCAATTTGCATTTCCACCCAATTACTTCTTCTCTTCTTTTTTGGCGCTGTAACCGCCTAAGCGATTTTGGCCGAGTTCAGCAAAGCACGCCAGTCGTTTCTCCTCTGTGCCAACTGACGCCAATTGGAAACGCCAAGTGAAGCCAAGTCCTTCTCCACCTGATCTTTCCATCGCAGTGGGGGCCTCCCTCTTCCTCTGCTACCACCAGCGGGTTCCGAGTTGAATACTTTCAGAGCTGGAGCTTCGGTGTCCATTCGAACGACATGACCAAGCCAGCGGAGCCGCTGTATTTTAATTCGCTGCACTATGTCTATGTCGTTGTAAAGCTCATACAGCTCATCGTTCCATCGTCTGCGGTACTCGCCGTCGCCAACGCGTAAAGGCCCGTAAATCTTCCGCAAAATCTTTCTCTCAAACACTCCAAGAGCCGCCTCATCGGATGTTGTCATTGTCCATGCTTCTGCGCCATATACCAGCACGGGCATGATGAGTGACTTATAGAGCGCGGTTTTCGTACGTCGAGAGAGGACTTTACTCCTGAATTGCCTACTCAGTCCAAAGTAGCACTTGTTGGCAAGAGTGATTATTACCAAAATATGTATCCAAACAACAATAGTTATCAATTGCCACCCGCTAATTATAATAATTTTTCTAATCCAAAGCTAAATCAATAATTCAATACACATAACACTAATAGACAAAATTCGAATATAGATAGAATCAGACGATTTGGTATGCCCGAGCCTATGGAGCAAGACCCATCAAATTTTCATTTAAGGACCTCGGAGATTTACCCACAGTAGTTTTAAAATTTGGAAATATTTATCTTAAATTCTTAGTTGATACAGGTGCGTCTGTTAGTTTGATTAGGCTTAATACTTTTGACAGTTAAGTCATTAATGTTAATCCAATTATTTTGAAAACTGCTGCTGGGAAAATAACATTAAATAAAATACAAGAAGTGTATTATGATAATCAGAAAAATACCTTAAAATTTTACATTCATGTATTTTCAAAAATTTATAATGGATTACTAGGTTAGGATATTTTAAATCTTCTTGATGCAAAACTTGATGTTAAGGAAAAGCTTATAGTCTTGAATGGTCATGTTCATAAATTTTTTGATTGTGAAAAGAAAGGATGCACTAATTTGCATCAAACATCAGACAAAGGCCTTACAAATAATATACAAGAAAACGATTTTAGGATCGATCATTTGAATAAGGAAGAATTAAAACAAATAACAAAATTAATTGGACAATATAATGGTTTATTTTACAAGGAAGGGGAAAAGTTGTCTTTAACTAGTAGAATTATACATAGAATTAGAACAGTTCATGAAGATCCAATCTACGCAAAATCATATAAATATCCTGAAATTCATAGGGAAGAGGTAAATCGGCAAATAAAGGATATGTTAGACCAAAATATTATTTGTCATAGCGATTCTCCTTATTGAGCACCGATTTGGGTGGTACCTAAAAAGTTAGATGGTTCAGGTAAACAAAAATGGAGAGTTGTAGATTACCGAAAATTGAATAACATCGCTGTAGATGATAGATACCCAATTCCTAATTAGATGAAATTTTAGATAAAATTGGCAAATGCATGTATTCGAAATGGACCCTACTGATAGCAGGAAAACTGCTTTTTCAACACAAAACGGTGATTACGAATTTTTAAGAATGCCGTTTGGATTGAAAAATGCACCTGCAACATTCCAGCGGTTGATGAATACAATTTTATCTTATCTTATAGATCTTATAGGAAAAGATTGCATGGTATATATGGATGATATAATAGTTTTTAGTACTTCGCTTCAGGAACATGTTGAATCGCTCAACAGAGTTTTTGCAAAGTTAGCTAATGCTAACTTAAAAATCCAGATAGATA